GGATTTGCCTTTCTACCAATGCAGTAATAAAATGTAGTTCTTACTATTTTTCTATGGAGAAAAGGGCCCACAGAAGCCTAGGGCCCGTGGAATTGGTAAGTGGTTGCTCCTAGGGAACTGCTAAGGAAACTGGTCCCAGTCTTCTCACTCAGCATCTTCCTCGCTCCTGAGTCTAAGACTTCGCCCCACCCGGGACCCTGCAGAACTTGGAGTCTTGAAAAACTGTGAGAGAAGGGAGAAGAGCTGTCCGCAGAGAGGGAGCAGGACCACCCCAGCTGAAAGCCCGCACTGGGCCTGGAAGCAGGAGAGAGGCTTTTCCCGACGCCATGACTCTCTCGCCTTCCCTCAGCAGAGCAGGGGACAGGGGGTGCCTCCGGACCTTCCCCCCCGTCTCCTTCTGGAGGACAGAGCGCTGGGCTGCTTCCTCCGGACTCTGGGAGGACACAGGCAAGGAAGCTGGGCCCTCAGTGGAGGGAAAAGGATCTGTACGGTGGTCCCGCTGAGCCACGGAGCGGAGTTCCCAGAGCTTCCTCTGCTCTCCCCGACCCCACCCTTCTGGGTCTGAGCTGAGCTACCGCGCCAAACCCGGCTCCTGGCTCCTCCTCTCCAGCGCCGCCTGTGGGAGGTGCCCTCGCCCAGCTCCTCCTCCTGCAGGCGCCCTAGGTGTGCTCCTGCCCACCGCCTGGACCAGATGCCCGGGTGCCGAGGTACCCGAAGGCTGGGCGCTGTCTCCAGCGAGTGCCCACGCACACCTCCCGCATCCTAGATTCCCTCCTTAGACCATATCCTACCCCCGCGCCCTGTCACCCCATACCAGTCTACATGTTCATCTGTGGGCACCTGCCTGCCATCTTCCTGCCTTCCTGCTCCACCCCCGGGTACGTCTTCACTTATCACTGCAGGTGCAGGACACCAGCTCCCTGGCAGAGCGCTTTGCCTCCACCCCTGGACCCAGAACGCGGTGAAGTCCAGGCTTTCATCAGGTCACCAAAACTTTCACTTTTCACCCAATGCACCATATAGCTTAAGGATGGAACTTTCAAATATTCCTTTCTCCCTAGAAACTTTTTTTTTTGAGACATAAAAAAAAAAAATGTCACCCTCAGTAGAGTGCCGTGGTGTCACAGCTCACATCAACCCCAAACTCTTGCGTTTAAGCGATTCTCTTGTCTCAGCCTGCCAAGTAGCTGGACCTACAGGCGCCCGCCACAACCCCGGCTATTTTTTCGTTGCAGCTGTCATTGTTTAGCAGGCCCCGGCCGGGCTCGAACCCTCCAGCCCCGGTATATGTGGCCGGCGCCCTAACCACAGAGCTACTGTCGCAGCCCTAGAAACTTTCTTTAAAATAAACTTTATGGGGAAGTCTGATATACAGTGTGCCCATAAAGTTCATGTGCAACTTAAAACAGACAACTATGCTCTGACTGAAACAGGATAAGAGGCCAGGAGACCCACTCATTTCAGCCACTGACCCTGGGGAAACTTTTTAAAATGATAGTTCCTAAGTCTGTCAGGGATGCCAGGAAAGGCTGCTCTCAATCTATTACTAATGGGAAGTTCAAATTGTTACTGCTGTCTTGTAAAATAATAAACACAGGAGTAACTATTTACATTAAATATAGATATGCTGGGCGGCGCCCATAGCTCAGTTGGTAAGGCGCCAGCCACATACACCAAGGTGGGCAGGCTGGAACCCAACCCAGGCCTGCTAAAACAACAATGGTAACTGCAACCAAAAAATAGCCCAACAATGGCTCAGCACCCAGTACAGTGGTTATGGTACCGCACCAGCCACATACACCGAGGCTGGCAGGTTTGAACCCAGCCCTGTCTAGCTAAACAACAATGACAACTACAATAACAACAAAAATAGCTGCGCATTGTGGCAGGCACCTGTAGTCCCATCTGCTTGGGAGGCTGAGGCAAGAGAATTGCTTAAGCCCAAAAGTTTGAGGTTGCTGTGAGCTGTGATGCCATGGCACTCTACCGAAGGCAACATAGTGAGACTTTGTCTCAAAAAATATGTATATAGATATAGATATGCCCAGCAACTCAACAGTTGCACTCCTGGAAATCTGTGCTGTAAAAATTAAAACATCAATCCTTATGGATATATATACAAAAATATTTTTTATTATTATTATTATTGCTTGTAGTGAAAAAATATTGGCTTGGGAAAGGACCATCACTAGGGAAACAGGAAATGGCAAGATAAATTATGGTGCTTCCATATCTTGGAATACAACCATTAAAAAGAAGGACTTAGATATAGCTCCACTTGACCTGAAGAAATTTTCACGACATATTGTTAAATAGAGAACAAATAAAATGCAGAGAATATATGTCACAGTATCATTTTATAATGCAATTACATTATATAAAAACATCTCTTATAAACTGAGCTAACTTAATTTATATACAGTGACATGATCATAAAGAAAGCTATGGGAGAATGTATTCGAGTCTATTAACATTGGTATTTGAATGGGGGAAATAAATCAATGAATTTCTCAATGCTTCCTAAAGGCTTTAGTCTCCTGGAATCCTTCACATGCCTAAAGAATTAGTTACAGCCCCAGCTGTGATCTAAAAGAATAATAAAAATTCTCTTATCTCCAAAAGAGGATGTCAAATGCTCATCACTGGAGTAGGTCCCCAGATTAATCCCTGTACCTGGAAGACTAGAGTGTTATCTCCCTAGGAATTTAGACTACAAAAGGGTTGAAGACCCAGAATTTAGAGACAACTCTAGGACAAAGCCAGATTGGGTCAGGGGTAGGGTGACCAGATTTTAAC